TAAACTTGGCGAGGGGAACAAGAGCGTACAGAAGAGCACTGCATTTAACCCTTACTGACCGCAACATCACAAGGAACAACAAGCTGCTGAGCCAGCCGAGTTTGAAGGCAGAATACACACGGCAAGTTCTGGAGGTACAGCTCTGGCCAGTAACATCAGAATTTATGACACCCAGGTACTCGCACATTTCACTGTGGTATTAATGTTAACTTGCAGGTGCTTCATTTTAACAGTTACCTATATCCTGGCCCTGGGGCCAACCTGAAATAATTTGCTTTAAATGCTTCAGTCTTGGAGTTTATTTAGAGAAGAATATGGCAATTTTCTTGTAAATGAGGAACACATTCAAGTCATCTTTACTTATTTTGTCTTCTTATCAGAGTTAGAGGATACAGTTGCCATCTTCTGGTACCTCAAATGCACATATGTACCTGCTTTCCAACTATAATGTTTCATCCAGGCTTACTAGAAATTGTAGCAGTGCTATGAGTGGACATTAGGCACCAGCTTAGATGAGAAACATACTCAGGCTCAAGCGGATCATTATTCCCCTGACAAGCAGACACCAACTGTGGAATTCCGACTGGCGCGATTATTTAAAAAAAAACCCCAACATTAAAGTAACTATTATTAAATTTATTGACTCATTAAATTTACTAGCAGATACTGTATATATCATCACCTTCTAAATTGTCTGAAGTTAGAAATTAGCTGAGCCCTGAAAAATATGCTCCCCTATAGACCGCAACTGTAATATGCTCTCACCTCAAAGAGATAAAATATAATCACAGAAAAAAAAAATAATCATCTTGAAGATAAATTGGAGAAGGCTCCAGTTATTTGCTTCGAATGAAAGAACAAGGGTCAAAACCAAACAGTATTAGCTGGCTTAAAAAAGAAAAAGAAAGTAGAGCCTTGTGGAAGGAAATTTTCATACATGCTCAGAGTAGCTATCAAAATCCCCAGTTAAAGATATCACAGGATTGTGTACTGCTGTTCTACAAATTTAACTGCACTTGAACAATTCCCAATCTGAATTCTATTTTCTTTAACTGACCCTCTGAGAAAGGGTCACAAGCACTCTGTGTTGCTGGCTAATATGGAGCTTACACAGCCCATAAAGGAACTTTTAATGATATTTCTGTTTCATATTGAAGCAAGAAATGAATTCATGCACATATTAAGCAATTTTCATAGTCTAGGATAAACATCAAATTCTATCAACTGAGACATAAAACCACCAAGGCACTGACCATTTGTGGCATGAGAGAGGCACGATACGAGGTGTTAACTCCAACGTCCTGGATCAATTCCAGCCTGTCTAACTGCAGTCAGCCTTCTAACTTCTCTTTGCAACTGCACGTTGATACAATATTCCTGCCTTCTCCTTGTACTGCCCTAGCACAGTATCGCTGTTATGTGTTCCTCCACAGTTTCAGAGTTCTGTTCTGTATGTTGCCGTGTCTGTGGTCATAAAGCTTCTGCTTAAAAACCTCTAGGTTGAATGACTAATATAAATATTTTTCCAAGTGTATATTAAAAAAAAAAAGAAAAAAAAAGGAAAAAAAAAAAAGGAGCCTGCTTGTGGGTCAGAGCAAGATTAGCTTCCCCAGAAATGGATGGGTTTCCAGTATAGGAGAGAACCCAGGAGAAGACGTTTTTGTGTCCCCTTTAAAGACTGAGTAATCCTACTGCCATTTTCTTCATTTCACTAGGTGTTTCAAGGTGCTTGTTTTGCTAGCATAATCTGAGGTATCGAGATGTTCTGATCCCCTTCTGTGGAGCACGTACATACTTCTTGTGCAGCTTAATTTCTTCCTTAAATATTGACAAGTGCCACGTTTGCTCTCTAGGCAATGACAACAGTAGATTACTAATGCCTTTGGCTAGGCAATGGAAAATCATCTTCTGAAATCCAGCAATGACCTTCTAGCTCTTTGTCAGCAACTGTTCACACTCTATCGCCCTGAAGAGTTCAAAGAGAAACACACTCTACTCCTGAGCACTCCTACCCAGCTTTCAGAGAAACTCTCTCATCATAAAGTGAGACAGTTAACAAGTTCGGTTTTATTAGTAAAACAAAACTATTTTTTATATTTTGACACAGAGAAAATTAACTGATTATGAGTGAAAATCATCCGCAGGCCTTTATATAGTAAAAAATCAGAACCAGCTGCTTGGTGCAGAAGGTTAATTAATACTCCAGTGTTTCTTCTTAACAGGGGTGGCTTCAACTGGTGAAACTTTTTTTTCTTTTAAGAAAAAAAAAACCAAAACACCACAGCAAAACTTTGATCATCAGTTTCTGTATAAGAGAAATTACGTAGAAATAACATGGAGAAAACTGTAGGCATAGGAATAATTAGCTATCTCATCAGAATTACATGAAGGAGCCTTGCAGATTGTTTAAGATCTTCAGTATTTCCACCGACTATTTCCACTGCAGTTATTCATTTTTAAGAACACTAAACTCACACTAAATTCAACAGAAATAAAGAAGTGTGTGTGTGTATGCATGCATGAAAAATAAATAAATATATAAACAAGCAAGCAATTTAGTGTGTGCAACAGCAAAAGTTAAAAGTTCGCATTTCACTGCCAGGACATAAAATGAACTGCTAGTTATTTTGCCAGTTGTCATAAAATATATTAGCTTCATCTGTGCAAGTTACCAACACAACACATACACACAAACACACGTACACAGAATTATTACCAAGTTTCATAGCACATACCTTTTATATGAGAGAAAAAACAAACCCACAATTTGTTTTATGAGTGAATCAAACGAATTTACTTACCACAGCTGGGGGATCATTCCATTCTTCGTAAGAAATGGCAGCATATGGGTAAATTCTATCATTGATAATCTGAAGAGTAGCAAGAGCAATTGCTTTCATTGATTGAAAATATGCTTCCCAGAACCACCTTGCCTGTGAAGAGAATAAAGTTCACTTTCACACTGCATGGATCCAGTGCTTAATAATCAATTTTTGCTTGCCATGCACAATCTGTTCCATGCAGTCTACAAGTCAGATGGAAATTAAATTAGGAGGCATGTTTATTGTAGCTAGGATATTTCCATAGAGCCTGAAAGCTTCAAACTCAACCCCACCCCCCAAAAAAACAGAATTTACAGCCAATAAAAAGAAGCAGCAGCATTACTTTGCAAGTGATTAAACAGAATGAGAATACTTGAAGGAATCGGTTACTTTCACACCTTTATCATATGTTTTCCCCTTGAAAAATGTCAAAAGCAGTTTGACCACAGAACAGAAGAAACTGCTGTTATAGTCCATTTTTCCAAGGCAGAGGAATCCACAGTGCAGCTAAATAGCTAAATAAAAGCACGCAGCCTAAAAGGTGGAATATAAAAGTCACCTTTTAACATCAATATTAGAGACAGCTGATCAGATAGAGAATTGCAGTACTCATTAACCCTACCAAACTAATACCTTCCCAAGTCGCCCAAAAAGCAAATATTACTTATACAAGTAAATATAAAGATTTTTACATAAAAGTACATGCATATGCCAATTTGTTACAATCGTTAATCTAGGCTAATTTACAACATAGTCAGTGTAAAACTGCTGAAATGAAGCATGTGATTTTCTTATACACAGATGCACTGCATTTCACAGATGAGTTGTTTTCAAGCCAAGGTCCTGTATGGCAAGTTTTAATCTTGTCCCAGTTTCTATGCAAGACAGAAATGCTGGAAGAAAAACAGCGTTTTCAAAATTAAAATGTTGACCTATCTGATTCTCTGTTAGAGACATAAACATACTTTTTAAATGCCTAGAACCATCAAATGATCCTGTAGGACCCCATCCAACCCAGAAGGAAACACGCATTGCCAATAAATGTGGTTCAAGTGTTTTGGCCCAAGAGATGTGAATGTTTTCAACCTAATTTTTCTTCAGGAAACTCCAGCACCTTGAGGTGTCCAGAAGGTAATCTGATTTGCAGTCTCCCTATGGAGAGACTATATAGTATCAACTACAAGAGTACGCGTTTGCATCTAGGTTGTAGAACAATTAAAACAAAAGACATTTTTTCAATAATTGGAAGCTTAAGCAGCTTTCAGAGCCAGAATACAACTGAAGACAACATACAAATTTGGGCAAGTGCTATTTTACTCTTGGCTATGGATCCCTTAAACAGCAAAAAAGTTCTATAGACAGGCTGGTTTTAATCATGTGCTATGAGAATATTAAATAATATTATTTACAATTTTAAGTTACTGAAGGAATACTAAGCTTTTAGAGGTACCAACTTTAAGATGACCCAAAAATAACTCTCATTTAGCTGTTGTTAACAAGTTGCCAGTGTGTCTCACTCTGCAGGTCATTACTTTTTAATAGAAGACAGAGTGTGATTCCTACATATACACTTCGTGCTGGAGCATTCCTAGTATAAATAACGGTGTACAGGAAAGATTACAAGTAGGGGAAATGCAAATTCACAAGCAAACTTGCACATATTCATGCATATGCTACCCTGTACTTCACTCTGAGTATAAGCTCAGAGGGATTCAGAACTAAAGACCTATTGCCAAAACACTGGCCCTAAAACTCTACTCTGTGGGTAGTTTGTAAAACAGGTTCTTCAGAGTAGTTCTGTTAAATATTTAAGATGAAAAAATCCATGTTGCAATTAAAAAAGCAAACTAGGAAAGAAACAAGTGCTCTCTGGAGCACTACTTTTATTGTGGGAAAACATTAACAACCATAAGTCTTACTCCTTCAGAGTATTTCAAACTTTTATTAAGGAGACTGATGAGTATGTCCAAAAATTACACTTCTCTGGAGCTTGTCATCCAGAGAGAGTGCAAAGCAACTTCACTCTGGAACGGAATCACTTCCCTCTCCTTATTTCTCTCCCTGGTAGGACATAATAGCTGGATAACAGGCCGATTACCAAGAACATAGAACAAAATGAATATTATATCCAACTGTAAAAGCAGAAGAATTATATAAACAGGTAAGAATAAATAATGTCTGCCATCCTAAAATACCAAAAATACACTAAAAAAAGCAAACATCACATGCTAAGCAGACTTAAGTATTCCTTTCCCTATGCCCCATTTCTTAAGAAAAATGTATTATCCAGAACTCAGCAGCAACTGATTTTAAAGTAAACCAGTAGTAGATTAAGAATTAAAATTGACCAGAACAGTGAACCTCTCTATTAACATATCCTAAATAAACAAGGGTAAGAACACAGATTTCAAAATTCATTTTCACATTAGACAACAGTTTAGAACCACTGCTATAAGCAGCACTAAGTAGGAAGGAGAAATTATTTTATGTAGCCTTTTAACATATAACTTTATAAAGCAATTAAGTAGCTATTAATTGTGTGAAATACACACAGGACTGTGTATTTCATTGTTATTAAACGACAGCATTCCTATACTGTTCTAACTCTAAGATTGTTTATTAATATTGTAATATCTATGATTATCTAGCTTCATAACAATCAAAGCTGATTTTCCTCCTTTGGCAAAACTAGGATGGATCTGATCTAGCTTCTCTTTGCTGAAAGAATGTTTGCAATTCAGGCAAGATTACACCTTTATACCACATGCAAAACTGGAGAAGAGGGCAGAGGGAATTTACTTTTTATAGATTAATATTTATGTAATTAATTTTTTGTGAAGAGCTAGAAAATGTTCCCACAGTTGGTTGTAATTTTTTGGAGTTGTGTTTCTTTAAGGCAGAACTCAAAACCTTCTAAGGGCATTCGAAGTCTCCAAACAGATGTTTCAGGGTCTCATTACTTCCTCCCCACCTTGTTTGCTTTTATAAAGCAGAACTGATTAACATGGCTTGCTAGTGTCTGCTGCTCAGCATGCTAAGTTACAAAACATTTTGCTAAAGTTTTCTATTGGGAAGATGTATGTCGATTCCATTTGAAATGTATTTTCTGCTCTACGTGGTGTGGTTGAAAAGCTTATATTGGAATGTAACAAATAAAAATCCCACAAACACACTTGGGATACAGGAGAAACAACAACAACAAAGAAAAAAAAAAAGAGACAGAGATCTGTTCCTGACTCCTATGCCAACTTTCTTAGTATTCTTACATCATTTTTCTGAGCTGTCCATTTCTCTTCTCCATATCTATGAACTCAGAAAACTAGTCGTTACATACTCAAGAGTAGCTTTAATACACTGGGTAATGTTTGTAAGGTATTGCAATTGTAACATACTAATTAGAGCTACCTGAAAGCCCTTCAAGATCTTGAAATAAATGATCCATAATTACAGATCTTGTCTTCCACATAGCATTGATTATACACAGTCTACACCTAGGATATGGTCAAGCTACCATTCCTTTCAACTTGAACTAAAACTAACTTCTGGTAGTCTGCTTGATGAGGTTTTAGAATTTTCTAAAGGAACACACTACGTGGACCACAGACTCGTAGAGAATTCTAACTTTGTATACATCTAAATATTGCTTAGGTCACAGGCACTCTACACTGTAAATAGAGATCAAATGTGTACGTTGAACGACTCCCAAAACAACACACATGAACGTATGTTAACCTATGGGATCTTGTTCTGGGTGTATGGCTTACCAGGAATTGCAAACAGGTATTTAAGAAACACAGCTGCTCTTCCTCTTCTAGATTTTTAGATAAATAGAAAATCTAGGATAGATCCAAGATGAAAGACCGAAAAGCATTACTTTCTATAACAGTTTTACCAACATGTGGAAGAGTCAAATGTAGAGTACTGAATGACTTGACTGAAAATGAGAAATACATTATATTCTTGGGTTGCCCAATGGGTTGGAAGTGACTGGAACCTCTTGTAATACAATAGATTCCCCATGAAATTAATTTGCCTGAATTCAGTTTCTGCAGAAAATTTTACAAAGCCAAGACAGCCTCATCATGAAAACCAAAAAAAGAAGGAATCTGAGACCAAACTCTCCTGTCTCTCCAAGAGGTGAGCTCTGCAGACCAAGGTCACGTGCCAGTAGGTAGCTCTAAGTTGTTTCTCTTCCTTCTTCCACACCCCAGTTTCAACTGCTGCATGCTCATTAGATCGGCCATGAAAACCTCCCAATTTCTGTAAAGGCTAAAATTGCTTAATATAACATGGGGGTATTAATTTATCTCCTCAAATACATATACACACTTTGAGGAACACTAGTACTATCTGTAAGACAGAAGAAAAAGTTGAGAAACTTTGTGTAGTTTTGTTCCTCGAAACTGTAGATGGTATGGGAAATTTTGTGCTCCTTCAACCAAGTAAGCAAGCATCCAAACCCGAAAGTTCAATTCCACTTGTTTTCAGTTCCAGGATTTTGTTCAGGTGGACTACAAAGAAACTAAACTGACAATATTCAGCACATACTGGTACAGGCAAGAGCTTGGAACGGAAGCATTTGCAGTTATTTTCGTAGGAGACAACAGGCAGCAGCACAGAGCAATAGGGTAGCCTACTCACAGAAAGTAACATTTATTTAGGTAAGGTGTTATTTTTCTTAGAAATAAACACACTCGGGGGCCTAGCATCTCTTTATAAGCTCTTTACAAGCCAGCGTAGCATCAGGTTACAAAGTCCATTCATATAATGTTTATAAGTTCTAGTGTTAATGCCACTAATGGTGCTCCAGTGTAGAGTGCAAGACAGATCAATGTAAATCTTTTGATTAGTTTGTGAAAAGAAAAACACTGGGCATGAGGCAAGGAAAAGAATACTTTCTGTAACATTTAGATCAAGGGAAAATAGTCCACGAAAGGGACTTTCTAGCCTCCTGTCTTTTCACAGCCCATAATTTGGTGGGAGTTGGTAAAGTTAGCAAAAGGGGAAAAAACAAGATTCGCAAAAGAGTAGTAAAAGTTAACTGCCCATAAACCACCACCTCCCTCAGCTTTTAGGTCAGGCGCCATGACGCTGTAAGATTTTGCCCCACT